TTGGGTGTTGCTCTCTGATCTGACTCCATGTTCCTGTGTGTATGGCTCTTTTTTCACCTGGCAGGAAGTGCACCTGATTGGTTTAGTTAGCAGATGAATCCCAAAAACTCTTAGTTGAAGCAGAGAGGGAGGAGGCTGCAGGAGGTTCATGTCAGGGCTGTTATAGACCTCTCACCTGCTGCTTGACTGTTGGAATTAACAGTTTTCTTGTCAAACTGCTTCCTTTTGTTACAGTGTGAACACCTCTATTATGATTGTATATATGGAGACGTATTTTTAAAGTAAAAATTTCAACAATTAATCAACTAAATTGTTTTTTATTCCTCTGATTTCCACCTTCATAAACCTTACTCCCTGCCAGTTCTATTTTTTTATTCAAAAGTAATACATTTTATATGTTCATAGAATCTGAACAAAACAGAAATCAAGCAGATTTATCATCCAGAAAATTAAGAAATTACAACATTTGAATTTTAAGAATAAAATATTTCATTTTATTCATGTTGTTATCTTGCAAATAATTAAATCTATGAGTTAGTTTCAGTTAATAGGTCAGTTCTTTAACCATTCAACAATAATCTATTATAGTTGGAGAGTTAATACCTTTATCAAAAATCTTCCCAAAATTATTCTTAAGATGAATCATGATAAAAATGAGGATAATATATATGAACCATTTAGAAATTGATACATATACAAATTAATACATAATTCAAACAGGTAGAATTTCACGTAAATCCACCAAAGTTTCTTTGTTACATCAAATTTATTTAATATCTCTCTCTCTTTGAATGCTTAAAAGACACATGATGAAGAGCTGGATCATGTCGGATTAGAATAACATAATAGTCATCTTTTCATTTAATTGTATTTTATTTTATGAAGAGTTTTTCCTCCATGACAGTTGCTGACCTGTTGATGCAGGTGTGTTGTGTTTAGATTGTGTTTGAGATGTTTTCTTTTCACATACCTGAAGAGATCCAATCTATTTAAACTAGTTTAGCCACAGTTTGAAAAAACAAAACTTGTTTTTTTAAGAATGCAAACATTAACATGCATTCTTGTATCATTTTAGTTTCATTTTTCAGTTGAAGGAGATGTAGCCTAACAGGAAAGCCAGGCTCACATGATGATTGTTCTTTTAATATTTGGATTTTAACATTTATTGTGTGTAAAATTATTCCATAAAAATGCTCTATTTGTCAATTATTTTTTGAGAATAAAAATGGGATAAAAAATAATGCCCCCTCTGTTTCTCAGTGCTTAGAGAGTACAGCCTGTGAGGTGCCTGACAAGTTCATAGAAAATAGATGTTGCATGTTTCGTTTGAGAGACAGAGCTCTTTAACTTGTCCCCTGTTTGGTCTGCTTCCAGACAAACACACTCAGACCTGAGCTGCTGTCATTTCACAACTGTTTCTGTTCTGATGACAGGAGACTGCCAAATTCCCCACCGACACTTGTCTCATGTGGGACATTTTTCTCAGCCTCAGGACGTTGCTGTGTGTAAAAGAAGTAGAAGATAAAAGAGACAGTGTCATCCTCGGCAGGCCCCCCGGGGTATCGCCTGCTTCCCACCGGTCGTTGTAACGGTGATTTAAACCGTGAAAGGTGTGGTGGTGATGAGTCACTGGTAGATCCTCACTGCAAAAAGTGACCACCCTTAACTGTTTTATTCACGACTTTAAATACTGTTGTTAATATAAAAAAAACAGGGAAAATTCCTCAAGTTGATGTCATAATTCTGCTTGTTTTTAATGCGCTCATTTCGGACATTTTCTAGAACAATCTGTCTCTAAAACAAAGCATGATGAAGGCAGATCCCTCCACTGCTCTCCAGAAAACAGCACCGTCTGATAAGCTGCAAACAAGTGGACTTTCCCCATTCTCCCCGACTGATTTTTTTTTAAATTGTATTAAAGAAAATAATAATTAATAAAACTCGAAACTGTATAAAATAATTTGATCCGACGGATATTTCTTGCAGTGTGCAGCGCAGGAACTTCACCAAACTTGTCAAACTTCAGTGTTTATTGACTGTCTCCCTCGTTGTCTACAGTTGAATGTATGCTATCACGTCTTGTTGACGTTTCTGACCAATAGGGTGTATTCCGATTTTATTCTGATATGCTAATTGAATGCTTCCGGGGACGAAATGCGTTGCTGCTCCCTCTCATCTCTCAGAGGAGCCGCTGGCGTCACTGTTCCGCTGCAAGAGCTGCAGGGGAAAGAGACGCCTTGACAAGTGTTTCAGAACAGCAGTTTGTCATGACAAGTTGTTTTATTCAAGTGTTTGATAAAGGAAGGAACTTTGTTAAAGGTTTTTTTTGTTTTTTTTTAGAAAAGTGTGTTGGTTATATTTTCAGCCTTATTTTAAGATTTTATTTGATGAAAAAAACGTCTCAAATCCGAATTTATTGTTTAAACAAGCTGGTGTTGAACTCATCTCGACTCAGTTTTACTGCTCTTTTTTTTTTAAGGGAAGCAAGGTTTCTGGATTGAGTTTATCCATATGGGCATTTTGCAGTGCATGCTGTTGAGGGGGAGGATGAACATAAAGTTTTTGAGTCAGCAGTAATTTATTGAATTACTCACTTTCCTGCGACAAAGCACGAGTGGCCATTGCTGACATCAGCCTGTGGTGAAATGCAGGAGATGGTGACTCTGACATGCGTAATTGCGCATCTCCTGGTGAGCTGGAGGCAGTTGATGGAGCTGGATGTGGAGGAGGATTTGGAGCACCGTGCATCCTCTCCACCGCTAACCCCGTTTAGCCCCATTTCATTCGGTTTGGCTTCTTTAAAACTCTTATGAAGTGGTCACTTTTATCAGAAATAGTACTTCTCTTAGTTCTGATAAATTCTAAATATATTCCCCCTTAATCTTAGCCTGCTGTGCTTCAGATTATTAAAATGATGATTGAAAGTGAGTTCCCATCAAGAGAGGTCTTAACGTTTTGGAGCCTTCATGAAATCAAACATTTTAAATTTTAATAATACATTTAAACCATTAAAGAGTTTTAGAAACTGTTTCAACAGGAAGGATTTGCTATTAAAGATGACATTATTTCGATATTTTTTTTCCCCCTAGTATTGAAAGCTTCATTAGGCTAATCTTCGTGAATTAGGGGTGATTTTGTCGATATTTCATTCTGCCTGTCATCCTCTCTGCAGTATACACTGGAAGACTGGAGGAGGAGACACTTCAGTCCCTCAGTTTCTCTCCTCTTCTATTTTTTCTATTCTTTCTTTTCTTCTTACTCTGCATATGCAAAATGAAATTGATCATTTTTCTGGTCAAACATGAATTCATTTAACTTCAAACCTACGTGATGCCACTTGTCTTGTGCGTGTCAGATAGGCTGTTCAAGCAGCAGTGACATCCTTTAAGGGGCGAGACTGATTGCTTAAATGACCACAGCAGTGGAAGGAGGAGAGAGGGGGGGGGCACATAGAGAGAGAGAGCGAGAGAGAGAGAGAGAGAGAGAGAGAGAGAGGAAGGTATATAGAATTCTGCCCAGTAACAATCGCACAGCCTCGGTCGAGCGCTGCGGAACTATTGGCTATGCAAATACACACAGGGAGGAGGAAACAACTTAGACTGGAAAAAAAAAACTTTAAAGAGACATTTCCCCCACTTTTCTCACAAGCATTGCTATATAGCCAACAAGCCTCGGATGGAAATTAACAGCTCTAAAGCTCTGAGGACTTTACTGTCCCCAGTCTTCCCCTGACGCGCTCAAGTCTCGTTTCATTCAAGGCTCCGTCTTTGAAGTTGACTAAGAATAGAAGGGGGATTAACATATTTACCCATGCAGATTCTCTTTGTGACTGTATGTGAGGCTAAATCATTTGGCAGTCATTTTTTAATTATCTGCTCAATGACTTACACTCTCAGCTTCGTGTCCACCTGCTTGTTTTTCCATGTAAATTATTACAGAACCCTGATCCAAAAAAAAAAGAAGAAATTAAAAAAATAGTGATTTATAGCAGGAATTGTTAAGTTAGCTGACATTATTTGGGTTGAGCAAAGCCAATGACTGTCATCTTTGTGTTATCTTAAACAGAATACTGCTTCTCAAATTTCCTAGAAAGCTATCTCAACCACAAGCTGTTTGTGGCTGCAATAAAAAAAAATAGTTCGTGAGACCATGTGTTTGTTTGTGCGTGTGTGTGTGTGTGTGTGTGGGCGTTCGTGTATGTGTATTTGTTGTGTGTCAGAGTGGGAGGTTGGTGGGTCTGTCCTGCGCGCGCACATGTTAGCATGAAGTGTTTATGTCCGCGTACATACAGTATCTACATGCGTCATGCTCTGCCGCTGAGGTTCACTGGGTCCATTAGAAAAGGCTGCTGTAACAGGAGAGCAATAATACCAATTAGTCGCCTTGTGGAGGGGTTTTATTCTTTCTAATCCAAACTAATATTCAAATTACTTTCACAAGGGGGCACTTGCTGCACTTTGGCAAGTAAAGTTGGTTTCTTGAAGGCTTTTCAATGCCGAAAATGTGCGTATTAATAATGGAACAATGAATAAGGCGTTCATTCATTTATTTATATGATGTGAAGTGACAATATCATTATACCCCCCCACTCTGTAATTATCACCATGAGGCAATCAAGCACCAAAATAAGGAACTGCATCTATAAAAACACATAAAAGCATTTATTTGACCTGAAAGAGCCATGTTCTTATTGCACATTAATCAGTCACATACTTGAATATATTCATATCATTTATACAGTTGGTTTATTTCAGCCTCAAGTCGTCTGTAAATGCGACAAAAACAGGTTAAACTGCAGTTTAGAAGCATTTTCTCTGCAGCTTTCATTGTATATTTGTGCATCTACATTAGAAAAAGTGTCAGCCTGTTCAGTTTTGAAATGAAACAAGTTTGCTCAAAGTTGTCTGCATGCCAGGCTAAAGGAAACAGGGACAGGAGCGCAGCATGTTGCGTCTGGTATATGCAGAATGAAGTGAATTGCGTCAGTGGCGCAGGGGAGGCTTGAAATGCGTCTGATAGCCAGGCGGATGAAAGTAGAGGCGCAGTGAGGGGAGAGAGGAAAAAGTTCTCAGTCAACGAGGAGAGGCAGGACTACTCTACGGAGCCCCTGCAGTCTCACTTTTTATGCCTCTTAAAGACTTTGCCTGCCATCCTTTTGCATTTTTGCTCTGCAACACCGCTTGTTCGTCTCCAAGAGAGAAATCCTACCTTTTTACTTAAGTGAAAGCACCAGCACCATGGAACTGCTCTGCCTCGAAATGGACACCATCATACGAGCTCGTCCCGATCCGAACCTCCTGTGCGATGACAGAGTCCTGCAGAGCTTGTTGACCATAGAGGAGAGGTTTCTACCCCAATATTCTTATTTCAAAGGCGTCCAGAAAGATATTCAACCGTTTATGAGGAGGATGGTCGCTACTTGGATGTTGGAGGTATACCGAAACACCGAGTGCTGACAAGTCTTATTATTTCCGTGCTCGACTTTAAAGCCTCCTGATTTGTTTCATTACTGCTTTACTGAGCGCTGTTTGGCATGTTGTGGACAGTAGATAAGACTTGTTGCTCTCATTTCCGACTGCTTATTGCTCATATTAACCAAATGTGTCGTTGTCTGTAATTTCTTACCATTTTTAAAGTCCGCTCATGAAGGCTGTGTTTATGAAACTTCGAGCTGTGATATCAGCGACACCGGAGAATTTCTTTTATGTGCCTCACATGTTGTCTGTGCAAGCTGCCCGTTGAGTCTTTATTGTTATTATTTTAGATAGCCTGAATATTTCCATGCACACGTATGCACTCCCCAATGCAATGCTGCCTTTGCACTGTTGTATCGCCATGTTGGTTTTTACAGGAGCGCTTGTGCTTTTAAGAGGACTTTACAGTGTCATAAACGCAATAACAGCGGTTTAAACCCATCGGCAATGACAGAGGAGGTTCTGGGGTGTCCGCTCAATATAGAAATGATCAGAAAAAGCGTTGCAAACATTTTAGGTATCTATTTTAAATGTCGGAAGGGGTGCGGGCCTTATCTGTCCTTCAGGTCTTCCCCCCGTCGCAATGCCTCACTCTGGAATTATGTTCGATTTTTGACACTTGGTCGAGTATTTCTGGTCAACGTCCATCTGTAAACAATCTCGAGCCTTCGGGCTTTATTTCCATGTAAATATTGTCAGGGTCCGACCCACTGGAGATTTTTAATTAATTTTTGAAATAAATATATCGGGTCGGCGGTGACGCACATCAGACCAACCTCTTGCTACTTGTCTTTTATTTTGACATTTTATTCATATTTATCGTGCGCGGATTTGGATATGAATTGTCGGGTATGATGTGGAAGACGTCCCTTCACATTATGATGCGAAGAAAATCGGTCTAGATAATTTATTTATATTTTTAATTATTTTATGAAAATATGACGAATGAGAAAAAAGTGTGTTTCCGTGTGCTTCGCTGTCGGGGTGTTTTTTGGCTCGGCTGATTGTGACTTGAATTCATTTCTTAGTGAATGAACTGCAGGAATGCGACTCTATTGACAGTATATGTCTGACACTTATTTCATTCTTTGAAGAATAATCTATTTCGAATTAATTTATGATGTCGCAACCGATTAGGGCTGGGCGCAAATTCTTGGCCGGGCCCCAACTATGTGTGTCATTGAATTTATATGTGCTTTTTATGTGATTAGACTTTTGTTTCGTTATCTCATAAAAGTTTTATATACATTTCAAGTGCTGGAAAATAAGTCAGGTCACTGCAGGGTGGCTTACTGATTCCAAATGCTCAACATTGCTGCATTGTCTGCCTTCTCTTTATTCAGGTTTGTGAGGAGCAGAAGTGCGAAGAAGAAGTTTTCCCCTTGGCCATGAACTACTTAGACAGATTTTTAGCCGTGGTACCCACCAAAAAGTGTAACCTGCAGCTGCTGGGAGCAGTGTGCATGTTTCTTGCATCCAAATTGAAAGAGACTCGTCCATTAACCGCAGAGAAGCTTTGCATCTACACAGACAACTCCATCAGACCACAAGAACTGCTGGTAAGCAACAGTTGGTTCAACACTTTTCACAAAATTCACAGTGACACTTCTGAGGACTCATGCTGTCATCATCAGCTGGTGGAAGCCAAACAGAACTTCATGGTATATTAATGTCTTTATTTCTTCAGTATGTCTGCTTTTGGGAAAACCAGGGTTTTATATTTTGTTTTAATGCATTTATTTCCTTGACATGTATTCATTTGAATCATTCAGATCAAAAACATCACACACTGAACACAAGGGCTGTTGCCATTCCACTGAATCTGTTGTCCAGTCTCCACTTTGGACTGCTCTGTCATCAAAGGTGCATGAAAAGCCTCACAGTGGACTGTTCCACAAGGGCTCTCCTTACTGTACATGACCCTCTGGGTTTTACAGTATCCATCCAGTGTGTAGTGGTCTCCATCGCCATCTAGTGGCAGATATTTGCACAGAGCAACGAGGTCAGCTTGGACTCCAGCCAAAGTTCTGACTCTGTTCCTGTCAGCTAGAGAGGGAGAGACACAGAGAAATTCAAGTTTGCCTTTTACAGTTCAGCTTCCATCCAAAAATAACCGTGGATGCACACATTTCTGATATTATGTCATGCTGCACTACTTCTGATTCTCACACATTCGTCAGTGCAGAAATGTGGCACAGTTACACATATAACCGATGATGCAGGGTACCATATGTGTCATTTGGAGTACAAGAATGTCATTCCTCTGTGTCATATATTTGATAAGGCCTCTTTGGCCTGATAATACCAGCTGCCTTCACCAGCGCAAACCAATTAATTAACTCAGTTTCACATCAGATAAGTGTTTCCCCTCTGCTCAGTGGTGCTACATAAACATTTCTCAGTAAACAACAGCCAATCCCACCCATGTTGTGAAAGAGGCCACATATTATGATTCAGACGTGGCTGATGGTTGTAGGCCTGCCTCGCTGCCTGGCTGATTGCTGCAGTATATTCAAGTTCCTGACGAGCTGCTGTTGGTTTTGTTGGTTTCTGATCATTTTCTGGAATGTGTTTCTGCTTGGGAATATTGTGTCTGGTTTAATTTCCCCACTCCTCAGTGAGGGTCTCGAGGGTCAGCTTTATTATAGCTGTAGGTTTGACAAGTAAAGAGAATGTGCATTTAAAAGAAATAGCGCTGCACTGTTAGCCTGGGGTGGACTCGTGTGAAACAATATGCCATGATGCATTTTTACTAGAAAACTGAGCCTGTCCTACCTTTATGTTCAATCTGAAGACAAAGCCCTCAAGTCCTTGAACTGGTTTGCTTGGGCCTCTTCTCAGTGTTTCTGTATATGGCAGTATTTTGGCTGACATGCAGATACAGGAAACAGAGATCAGCTGCTCAGGGCATGTGATCGTTTTTTGTCCTCGTCTTTGGTAAGAATTTCTTGTAAAGAGAACCACAATGTTACAAAGAAGGTGTGACCAGAGGAAGGCAGTAAAAGGAAGTGGTGCTTGCCTGCCACTCTGTCAGCATAGAGCCTGTGTTGCAAGATTTTTCATACCCCTCGCTGTAGTCTTAAATCTTGCTCGCTGGCACTGATGGAAAAGGCTTTTGAGAGCACGAGGCAGCCATGTTGCAAACATTAGACAAACCACTGCTGGGCATTATGATTTGCATATGATCAAATAATTGAATCTTTGAGATACCGGTTACACATCTCCAAGCTAGCAGAATAAGATGCCTTTCACCTTTTAAATCAGAGGTGCTTTTATTTTCTCATTTCCTCCCACATGATTAACTGTGGTTATAAACAAACCCCCTGTTTTAAAAAAGCCTTTCCTTCCCTCTATCCGTGTCCCCGGCTTCAAGGAGATCAGAAACTATTACAAGGATGAAAAGGTCACTTTGATAATATTGCAGGCTGGTATAAGGGTTGGTGGCAGCCATGTTGAATTGTCTCATGACCAGTTCATGTGTTCTCTCTCTCGCTCTCTTGAGAGGGAAAATGAAAAGCATCTATGGTCCTAGTCACAAGGCTGCAGTCCGGAACCAAACCACGAAAATTTTTCCCAAATTAGTCACTAACCCTCTGTTAATCACCTCCTCCTCCTCTAGGAAGTGAAAGTAACAATACACTCTAAGAGAAGAGAACACCACACCTAGTGTCCACCACACACACACACACACACACACAAAATGCACACACATTGCACAGACACCCATCTTGCATGTGTCATCACATTTTGCCAAAACGTCCATGATTTTTCTGAAGTCAATTGACTGTTTCCTGTGAGCCAGAAAAATGTTGTAAATTATTTAAAATAAAGTATTTAAAGGTCCAGTGTGTAACATTTAGGAGGCTCCATTGGCAGAAAATGCAATATAACATTCATAGGTATGTTTTCATTAGTGTATAATCACCTGAAAGTAAGAATCATTGTGTTTTCATTACCTTAAAATGAGCTGTTGTTATCTACAGAGGGAGCGGGTCCTCTTCTACAGAGTCCGCCATGTTGAAACACCATGTTTCTACAGAAGCCCAGAATGGACAAACCAAACACTGGCTGTAGATAAGATGTTTCGAGTTTTGCGGTAGTTTCTCCCACACGCTGAACTGTATTCAAATGGCTCTCCAACTTCACCGCTAGATGCCACTAAATCCTACACGCTGGTCCTTTAACTATATTTGCCACTTAACATTGTTTATGTGAAGAATAACAGGGCTAAAAGAGTGAATTTATTGTAGGAAGTATGAAAGGGCTTTAACAGAGTTGGCAGCAAAACACAAGATGCAATAATCACATCACCTGCTGCAATGTACAGTGAAGGGTTCTGATGGTTTAAATGATGAGTGGAATGAGAAGATTAAATAATGAAACTCTTTCAACTTTTTAACATAAAACAGATTTATTGCTGAGCACTGCCCAACAAGCACAGCCTTCCTATCCATTTTCACTGTACAATCAAACACACACACACACACACAGAACCTCTGGTGGGCCTCTTTAGGAAAGTCCCCAGATGCCAGACAGACAGAAGGGAGGGAGACAGTGTTGTGAGGTCACCTGAGTTGGTGGCGCTGCTGGTGTTTCTCTGTCCCAGGCCCGGCTGAGCAGAGACTAACATAATAACAATAATGCTTAACGTCCACACACACTAATGTACAGGGCGGGCCAGGGCCCTACAGAGGCTCACTTTGGGCTACAGTGTAACTGGCTGAACAACTGCTATAAAGTGTCGTGTTGTTGTTGAATGTAAACTGTGACAGTATGTGTATTTAAATATATAAATATCGTTTTTGTCACATTATCTTTCTCATTTTGTCTCGGTTATCTCTCTGTTTTCTATTCTCTGTCTCTCTCTGCCTCTCTCTCCAGGAATGGGAACTGGTGGTGTTGGGGAAGTTGAAGTGGAACTTGGCAGCAGTAACACCGAACGACTTCATCGAGCACATTGTGAGGAGGCTACCGCTGCCCGAAGATAAGCTGGCACTTATTCGCAAACATGTCCAGACCTTCATTGCCCTGTGTGCCACAGGTAGGACACAATGGGAGCTTATGTCCCACACATATAATGTCTTGTATTATTAACAGATGTTTGTTCTAAGTGTGATGTTTAATTGGAAAAGAGGATCCAAAAGATGGCCATACAGAGTGCGATGTCATCTTGATATCTTTTTCTTTTTTCTTCTTCTTGATGTTGCAAGTGACACTGATCATGGATAAGCTGCCAAGTCAAACCAAGTGATAATGGCTTGCATCAACATACTTGTTGCAAAATATCTGCTGCGCATTCTTCTTTCAGCACCGTATCAAAGCCCTCTTCTCTCAATAACATGCGGCAACAACTCTGTTCAGAGGTGTGCTGTGGGCCAGTCACGGCCCGCCGTAACTGAAGTGAGATGCATGGGAAAATATTCCGCCTAAGAAAAGCATGTGTCATGGAAGACATTTCAGCGTTAGACTCTTAGGCCTGACGTCCGTCATTTGTCTTCTCCCAGGCTGGTATGTGGTCATGTTTTAGAGGCGTATCAGTGGCTTCCAGAGCATCCAGTAACACTTCAAAGCAGATTTAGCCTGGTTGAGGGGCATTCCCATGTCGCACAGGGTCGAGAAGAGGAATGGACAGGGGTGGAGGCAGGCAGGCCATTGTCTCCTCGCTCTTGAGGTGAATTGTTCCCTTAAGATCAAACATCCAGGGAGTCGTGGGAGGGACGGGGAGCCTTTAACATGATCTGAACAGACGGCGAGGTTGAGACGTAGAAGATGCAGGAGGGAGCTGGGGAGTTAGGGAAAGCCAGAGGAGTGTATTGTTTATGCACTGCCAATTCTAAGGCATGTCATGTTTTCATATCTCTTTCCCCTGCCGCCTTCCTTCCCTCTTTCTCTCCCCCATTACTTCTCACACCTCCCTGCCCTACAGCTGGATGACATGATAGCTTTCCCATGTTGAGATCCTCTACAGGGCAGGTTTCTCCTGTTTGCGCCACCTCCACATTCAGCGCTACAAACAAGGAAGGGGTAGTGATAGGGAACACTTTTACTAGTCCTAAATATCCATAAAACATTAATGGAGTAAAAATGACACAGTTCACCCACAATAAGGCTGGTTTACATTCCTTTCTTTCTCACTTTCTGGGTGACCCCCACCACCACCAGCAGCTTCCTTTTCTTCCTCAAACAGGAATGCTAACTACACCCTCCCCATGGGAAACGGCTCCTTGTGCTGACATCATTCAGAGGAGTGTGTGATAGTTAGATGAATAGATAGAAGGGAGGTGACAGGTATTTACAACATAAAGTGGATGCACTGATTGTGCAATGGATATGATAGGGTGAGAGAAGTTTGCTACAAACATTTTTGAAGAAATGCCTGTTTTCTCTCTTTCTCTGTTTCTCCCTTTCCTTCACTCTCTCTTACTATCTCTTGCTCTCTTCCTCTCCCTGTCTCACCCCACATCTCTCACCCCTTATTTTGTGCCAGCGGATTAATGTGTGGAATGACAGCGTGTCAGTGATCGGACCTATTCCCAAAGCAACATTGTGAAAGACTCAGCATGCACTTTGTCCTTAATTGCTTCAATGAGGCAGTGGAAATAAATTTACGAGCCTCCTGGAGTCGTCCTCCTGACATTGTGTTTTAGGAGAGAGACTTTCTGGAGATAGCTCTGGATTAGCAACAGGCCATTTATCTGTGTATGCGCTCCTCAGACTTGTATCCAGGCAAACAGAGAGTGAGGGCAGGACAGAGAAAGAGAGAGCGCGGGTGAGTCAACAATTTGGTGCATCTAAAGATCTCTGGGAATTCGAAACCCCATTTGTGGAACGTTCCCAGCCGTAAATCTTTGGGTTATCTGGTGAGAATCCTCCTTGAGACATCCTCTGAGCGGAGCCGAGAAGGTAAAGACACAGCAGAAGGAGGAGATCTCTCAGGAGGATTTACATTTGCAAGACGGTTGACAACGGGTCACCTGTGGCCCTCCTATTTCATACAGTCTCATTCAACCCACCACCCACCACTACTCCCACCACTGCTGCCCCTATACTGAAAAAGAAAACATGCATAAAACCACGGCTCTCTGTTTTCAAGGGAACAAGAGAGAGAAGAGGAGAAGTGGAGAATAAGGCCTCTCATTCCTAATGGCTCCTCTCTTTTGATGAAACAGTTCCGTTCGGGCCACTCGGTGGGATTTTGTCAGGTGGCGCAGGCTGGCTCTGTATTAATTAATAACATTGGCTGGTCCTTTCAGGACTATGCAAATGGCTCGGGAGCTCAGCTAGAGGCTGGGAGAAAGGAGACAAAAGGCCTGGCCCTTACATTTCATATGCAGAGCCATGCGAGGGTCAGCGCTGCGGGGCCACTTGATAGGAAACACCAGCGTTTCCCTCAGGCAGGCCGTCGGATAATAGCCCAGAAACAAGCTCATTAAGGGAGATTATGAACCTCCATTCCTACACACAGACACCAAGCACTCCGAGCTTCCTCTTCTATTCTTATTCAATTGAGGTAAAGTGGGAGAATGGACGGGGTGCATGGGGCAGACAGATGCACCCCAACCTGTCTGCTGCAGTTATTGAGCTCCGTCTTCTTTCCATATTGGTAGGGATTATGGTCTTTTTTTATACCGACTCCAATAGCCCTCTCTGTAATGGTATGGATGGAATGGTGACAATAGTCATAGAAGTTGATCAAAAGAAAAGTCTGGATCAGGGCCAACAGTGCTGTCCAAGAGAGAGTCAGTTGTCCTGGGGGACATAATGACTGTTTTGCTACAAGTTGGGATGTAAGTAACAAGTGATTTAAGTGAGTACTCACTTTTTATCTCAGGCTAGTATAAGATTACTTTTATTCTGTGTGTGGTGTCTTTGGACTGTGTGAAGTAACTTGATGATTAACTGGTAACTTTGTCTGATACAAACTAATCATTCACTAGCTAACAAACACGAGGGAAGTCAAGCTTTGCTTCATGGGTTCACTCTTCCACTCGCATAAGTAGAGTTACAGTAGAGTTATTTACATTTTCTTTAGCCGTGCTTTAAATTTCTAACCACTATTTACTAATGGAGTGTGCAGAGCATATAAATCCTGCACTCTCACAGCTGTGCTTGGATTCATATACTCAGCACAATGCAGTATACAGTATATTCCACTGTTTAGTTTGTTATACTGCTCTAACCCAATAGAAAGTTGGACGCCATGCTAACATATACTGTAGTTCCTTCACTGTATATTACTTTTATTTGAAAATAATGAACATTTACACCAAGGACCAGAAAAGCCATCCAAAGCGGACATGTTTAGATTTTGTCTCTTCAGCTGAGTGCCTGAGGAACTAATAGAAAACGCGGCAATTTTTATGGGTCAGATATTCTAAAGTGATTTATAAGTCCTTTACTCATCTTAGCGGACCAGTTTCACTGGTCCAGAAGCAGGAATGCCTCTTGTAACTTCCTCTCCAAGTGGCTGCTGCACGGAGAATCCCCTCCAGGCTCAGCTCCGCATTCTAGAGATGAATGAGTCATCTCAGATGTGGTCAATGAAATGCTCTTTACTGGTGTTTGTTTACATAAAACTCCCTTCATGTTTGATGATTCAGAACCCCAACAAATTAGCCACCTCCTCTAACAAATTATCATCTCCCTGCACGCTCCACTGATGTGAGGAGTCATGTCCGGCCGGGCTGCACCGTCAACACATGAAGCAGGAAGAAGCTTCCTGAACAGTATGCGCACAAAAATGTGACACAGAGTGAATCATCGAGTGGCATGTCCTGAGTTCCCCCCTTCACCTCGCTAGTGTAATCAGCACCACACTATAAATACTGTGGCCAGCTGAGTCACACCAGAAACACAAAGAAATAGATTTTTGCTGTGGATGCTGCAATTATCCCACCAAGAAGGCTTACAAATCAAAATGTTTGAGGGTACATGTTTACCTTGGAGGTCACATTTACCACAAAGACTAATATTTGTGATTTGAAGTAAAGTTAATGTTAGTGGCAGCTAATTTGATCTGAACATTTTTGTCATGACAGCAGAGTGTCCTCCAACTTTTTTTCTGATTAGAGGGTTTAATTACTTCTGTTAAGCTACTGATTTTGTCCAAATTATATCAGCTACAGAGACAGACAGACAGCGAGGGAATGAGGTTTTGAATATGTCAGCCGGGTACAAATGCTGTAACCAATTCATGCTCTTCCAATGTGGAGAAAAGTGAACTCTCCTGCATACCACCTGATCCCAATGTGTCTGCTTGTCATCATTGACGTTACTGACGTTACGCCTCAAGGCCGCAGCTGTGACACTGGAGATGATGGTGCAAGAGAGCTGTCACGGGACGTTGCAATTAAGGAGGAATTCTGTTTTCTGGCAAATGAATCGATATCACAGTTTGAGCAGGGTGCATGACTCAGACTCTCCCAAGTTTTGTTTTTTGTTTGTCTCCGGAGTGACAGTCTGGAACAAGAGGTAATGGAATATGACAGATAGCAGGATCAAGTTATCGTTTCTTAATCATTGATTTCTCCCCTTGTGGAAGAACTCCTCGAGCCCGGTTGGGAAGTTGTTGTTGTTTGTGTGTCTCAAAGAGCTACACTAGGTGTACCGTCTGGGTAGCTCTCTACAGACCTTGTTTTGACTACCAGGCTGTGTTGCATTAGTGGTGAAACATACTGTCATGCCAATACCAAAATGATGTTTGTTTTTGGCCTTAATCAGTCAACAGACCCCGGGTCCTTGTAATGCTACTCCTTTAATAAACAAGGTCAATAAGCGCTACATGTATAGAATACAAGCCCCTGATTTATAGCATTGGAAAGAGAGGAGAGGGTGAAAAGGAGAGTTTTGGCCTTTTTTTCTTTCTTCTTTTGGCTGTTGTTCAACTTTCCAACTTTAATTAATTTACAAGTTTAATGTGCATACTGTGCATTGCAGCCACCCAGGAGGAGTGGGCCATGTAGGGCAGCAGACTGTGTGACCAGAGGCCTGAGGATGAAGTTTCAGGGGGTAGGAACACGGAGGAATGGAGATGAGGGGGCACGGGGAGGAGAAAGGGCCATTGAAGGGGGTGAGAGGCGTGCAGGCCAGGCCAGCCAGCCGCTGCTCACAGGGAGCTTTCCATCGCAGGCGTCCCCACTCAGCTACATACACTGTTTATCCTCAACATGAATATCAATGAGGACCTCCTAAAATACGGCCATTCTTCCCCCCACATGCAGCAGCCACCAGGCCGGAGTGTCAGCCCGCATCGGCTGCACGCGCGCGTCCTTGTTCTGCTACAGACCTGTCTTGTCTTGAGTGCGAAAAATCAGCTTGCTGCCCACTGCCCGCCACTCTGCTCTCCCACAAACCTACGTCTGTGCTGTGTGTGTGTGTGTTGTGTGTGTGTGGTGTGGTGGTGTGTGTGTGTGTGAGAGAGAGTGTTGGGTATGTCTGCATCTTAAAGCATGCAGGCATCAGCGCATTGTTTCTTGCTTGTGTCTCTTAGGTGTCTGCCTCCTTGCCTGTCAGTCTGCTCTCACTACACACGTACAGTAAATCCGTGTATGCCTTTGTCCTTTTAGCCCTCTATAGAAAGTTGTGCTCTTACAGCAGTGATGTAATGCTGAGGGGCTTTGTGTGCTCTTTCCTCTTGGCTCGAGGTAGCCTTTAATAAATCGCCCCTTGGCAGAGGCCCAGCGGCTAACACAGGGGTGTATAATAAGTTCATTTATTTGTCAACACTGAGCCCACAAGATGAGAAAGCGCCTGGCTGTGCATGTTAAAAAGGCAGTGAGGGGCTGCCTTTACAGCTATCAAAGGGCCTACCTCTTTGATTCCAGATTTAAAAAAAAGAAGGAAGAAAAATCTCCTTCAGAGCCATCGCACGCAGTTTGCTTTGCAATTGAATATGGCAATATGTTAATGTGCAGGCTGTTTCTATGCCCCCACTGCCCACTCCTCTAGCCCATAGGTGGCCCAGGAACAGAGGCATACTTGTGGGGGCGGGGGGGGAGTGGATGGGAAGCAGGAGGTGAGGGTCGCTGGAGGGCGACTCTTTTCTTCTTCCAAAACCTCACAAGAGTCTGGACATAGACTTGAGAGTGATGTGCATCGGAGCCCCCCCCCCCCACCTCCTCTCCCGCCAAGCCCACCTTCCCCTTCTTTTCTCCTTGTTGCCTTGTCGCCATACCGTCCATTCCTCCTTCTTCATCTTCCTCCCCCCGTCGACCCCCTGTCCCCCCTGTCCAGCCATGCTCTTTGTCCAGCCTGTCTCGCTGAATTGGTATCAGCAGAGAGGGGATGGATGCTGTGTCTCTCAATTGGGTGAAATGAGGTGATGACTCCGGACAATGGAGTCACACTCTTCTGCCTTCCCTCTTGCCGGCCCGCCACTCTATTAATATGCTAAAAGATAGGAGGGCCGCCAATGCAAACCACTGCCTGTTGTAGCAACAAAGACTGGGGCATGTGTGCCATTCACTGGCCCCATCTAAGCAGGCCATGTGTTGTCCAAAAAGAAAGGTAGAAGTTGAGCAAGACATAAAGAGAGAATAGAGAAAGGAGCGAGTGTGTGTGTGTGTGTGTGTGTGTGTGTGTGTATGTGTTTGTGTGTCTCTGTTTGTGAAGAGAAAAACTCTCTCTCTCTCTCTCTCTCTCTCCCTGTCTGTCTGTCTCCCTTGCTCTCTCTCTCCCTGTATGCCAGTTGCCTTGCCTTTTCGGGCTTCTGGCCCGTTCACAAGCTGTCTCATTTGCATTATGAATGACAGTGAGGGGAGCTAACAAGGTTATTGGTCTTTGAGACGCACGCCTGTGACCACACGTGGAAAAAGGACCTACAGCAGTGAGCATTGGCAGAGGCACTGAGCCTCTTTATTCCTCCCTTTCCAAGCGCTATGGGGCTTTTTTCAGAGAGCACACGATTTACTCAGGAGATGGAAGAAAAGGGGCCGGGCTGGGGAAAGGGGGGACTGGGGTGGGGAGTGGGTGAGGGTGGTTGCTTTTCAGCTCCTTTACAAGCCAAGTGAACCCTCATTATCCAGGCCCCTGGTCATTAGTGAGCGCTGCGTTCAGACCCGGTGCAATAGAAGGATTATTTATTTGCTGACTGCTAGATGACAAAATCATATTGTCTCTGGGAGGGACATATCTTTACCCTGTTTGTGGAGCATATGAATTATAACGAGCAATTTAGAAACAGCACCAGGTGAATAAAGAATCCAGTGTAAAAAGTCCTTTATCCACTGAACTAAAGATTTTAACCACTTACAAGTAACATTTACAAACTAACTAAGCACTGAAGACACGTTTAACTCAATTGGTTTTTCTTCCTCCAACAGATTTCACATTCGCGATGTACCCTCCCTCCATGATTGCCACAGGAAGTGTGGGGGCAGCGATCTGTGGCCTACAGCTGGATTCAGCTGACCAGTCACAGTGGGGCGACAGTCTCACAGACCTGCTGGCCAAAATCACAAACACAGAAGTGGTGAGTTTGTTTTATACTCCTCTGCCACATCCAGAACACCAGTTGCAGCTTATATGAGTTTAAAACACTGCATTCCAGTGTGGTCTTGTTAGTCAGGGTTTAACTAAGAGCTTGATAATTGTGCCAGGAAATTTTTGAGGGGATGTTTCTGAGTAATATTTGAATGAGGAGGAGGAGTAAATTTATCTCGCTCACTGACATCAGTTAGGTGTTCTCTGGTATTTAGTTTAGTGCGCTATTACAGTAACTCTATGATTCAAAGCTGAATCAGCAGCCATTGGAAGCTTTTAATCTCTTCAGTCAGTTTACATCTCCATCTGATTACCACTGAAACACACAGTTTTACAATCTGTGTGTGTTAACAAGAAAATTCAGGTTCTTTTCTACCAGACTCGCTACTTCTCTGAGGGAAAATATCCCTGTTATTTATGTCAAAAGTTAAGAAATGCCACATGTTTGTTGAGGTTGTGCGTTTGCAACAGACAAGAGAATGTTGAAATGTCACACTCAGATTTGGCTTCTTCACTGAGATTCGGCTTTCCGCAAATCCATTTTTGGGGGATTCTGCTGCCAATATTTGTCATGAGAAGAAGAAAATAAAATGAGTGTCAAACTATGACCAAAAATGTCTTCATTAAAAGAAATGCTGAACTGTGTCAGTTTATCCTCTGTCAAAACACTTGACTGGACTGAGAGGTAGCATGTGGCAGGTTTCTTTTCCTCTCCATCAGTCTGGTCAGGCTGCCCAGGGCCCCCTCATATAAAGAATCCTCTAAATCGAGCCAGGTTGAGAGCGTATACAGTAAGCTCTGTCGCTGACAGGAATGCTGGCCAGGCCGTTGTGTGGCTGTCTGGGTACAGTGAATGTTGCGGTGGTGGGTGAGTTGAGTCCAAACACAGGCAGGGCCTCTACTGACTCTGAGATGCCTGGCTTTCATCATGCAGATGGGAGAGGGCTTCAGCTTGCTATAGCTCACTGTTAGGGTGAGTAGGTGGGCATAGTTGCAGAGGGTAAGGAGAGTGAGACTGATGTGAGATGATAAGTTGATTTATTAAGTTATTCTTTATTAGTCTCTTTGGAGAAATTAGTCTTCTGCATTTGACCCATCCCAACTATTCAGGAGCAGTGAGCAGCCACAGCGCAGTCTCCAGGGACAAGCTCCAGTTCTGAAGCCGCTGCCTTGGCAGGAGTGCTCCTAATACCAAACATGATGAAAAAGGCTTTTAGTGAGTAATAGCAGACTTCGTTTAAACATGAACATTAGGAGTTCATATGTGCTCACTGCGCATGGGGCCATGACATGGATCCCAAGCCTCAGTCCTGGTATGTTAAATTCTGTCCCAAAAGGAGGCAAACTAGGAGGAGGAGGTGGAAGAAAGCTGTTGAAGTGTGAAAAGGACACTGGGGGGGTGTCATGCCTCCCTCACGACAATCAGCCCTCTCTCGTCTCCTCCGATGGTCCATAATGCATCACTGCTGGAAAGCATGGCTCCCTCTGGTGCGAGTTGTGTGAAGTCTCGCTCAGCAGCTGAGGAAAAACAAATAGCTGACCTCAGCAGCACAGGGCCTCAGTGTGTTTAGGCTGCAAGGTCTTAGGCTTGAGGGAATTAAGTCGCTCTGTGTCTCTGATCAACTCTTCACATTCCTGGATTCAGACAAGCCATGGCTCGCAGTAAACACAGGAGGCAAAGCAGAGGGCACCCTTCCTAATTCAACATATATAAGAGGGTTTAGTATAAACTGTTAGGAAGCAGCCAGCAACTAAACACTTTTGGTTTATAAAGTTACTTCAGACCTTTACATCCTACTTGTGCATTGCTTGTGGTACAACATAAAAAACACAGCCCAATGACAGCGGCCCACAAGTAGTTGTCAGCATTAATAAGTGGTTTTGGTGCTATTTATGCTGTCACTTTGTCACTGTTTGAGCATTTAGGCTTTCACACGCAAGAAAAAGAGGAAACGGTGATCATTGACCGTGTCATTTGAACACTTACCCTACCTTCTTTTCCCAAAAGCTTAACCACTTTATACGTCAATTCAACACCCAAGGACCACCTCAACCTCAATTTCGACTGCAGTCATCAGGGTGGTGGTATGAACCTGAGTCTAAATGTGTACACATAAAACACTGTCTTTGGTTTTGGCCAGCAGTGTAGAGGCTCGGCAAGATGGTAGAGCAGTGTCTTGTAGCCAGCCGGCCAAAGAGCCAGGCAAAATATGAAGGCAAAGCAAGTTTCGCCAACCTCTGCAGCTGCTGCTGCCAACAGCATCATGGCCAACGCCACCCCCCCTGGCACCCTGCTGGCATCTGTGGTATCCAGAAGCTGTGGTTTTCCAGTGGAAATGTGATAGGGCCAAGTCACCATCCTGGGCCGCTGGAAGAATGTGTGTAGCCTCACATGCACCTGGTGTGGCCAAGAGGGGCTCCCTGTTAGGGACAGCAGACAGGCCCTTGTGCCTGGGAGCCAAGTCAGAATGTGCAGAGAAAAAAAACATTAAATTTGTGAGAATGTGTTGAGTTTCAAGTGGGAGGCAGATCAGTTGGGATTTTCCTAAACTTCACAGGTCATCTGTAGTGGCAGTAAGAACGCTGGAATATACGCCTCAACACAAAATTTAGACAAATAGTTAGTACATGAGGGCTATGTGCGTAGAGTTCCCCTTTATTCTTGAATGATTAAAACAGGAAATAGAGGTTAGAGAAGTGCAATGGTTTAAGACCACCACTTCCTAGATTTGATCGTTTTGACACTCATTTTCTCTCAGTCTCTCATTCATCTTTTTTTTTCGGTCAGGGTCACACACTAAGACACCGGAAACACATTTTCCCATTTCTCCCCGTCTTCCTGTTTTCATTCCTCTTTTTTTTTAATCACTCTGGTTTCCATTGTGGCCTAACTATCGCTGAGATAGTCTCACAAGTTACACGATGGATGGATGTGAAATTGAATGTTTTTTTTGAGAGGGGGGGCAGGGTGTTAACCCTAACAGTAATGTGAGCGTAAATGCTTGCAACAAAGATTCATTTATTAGGAAAGATTATCTCTATTAACACAGCCTGTGTCCTGGGGCGTCACAGCTTGTGGTGTTTCAGCAAGCAGGCTGAAGAGGGAGAAAGGTCACATTTTCTATTGTAACTTTATGGAAATTCAAGTCATGTGGTGACTCCTTATTTCCAGTGACAGCCTCTGGATATTTTGTCTTAAGATTCCCTGAGATCTGTAGTGTGTGTCTGCCTGTGTTTGTTTCAGCTGTCTGACCACCAAGTCCTCCCAGAGTAGCTAACACTGTCTTGTGTGGTAGAGTCAGCAGTTAAAACACATTCCATGGCTTCACACATTTCTTCCTTTTGGTTTTGTCTGTCTGCACGACTTCCCCCCTAACGCCAATGTCACAAAGGCCGCCCGGGGGATCATGTGCATGCCTTGATTTGTCAGAGGGACAGATTATTGCAGTATAATGCATGTTTGAGGTGGGGCAGATGGACGAGCGTAACGACAAGGGAGGATCTGAGGTGGTTATGTTTTTTTCCGGGTTGAGGCTGCAAAATAAGATGCTTCAGTATAGCGCTACCTCCCATGACCAACTTATTCAATGCTGTTGGCCCCTTCAGTATCCAAGTACCTAGAGCTTCTCTGAAAACAGTATTGGTGTTTCCAGTAGTCACACATTGAAGTCATTAAAATTTCACGAATAAAGCCCATGGGGCTTGGCATAGGATCCAAACTGCTGCAGCAGAGATGGGGGTAGTATGTCTTTCAAGAAGGGAAGGCGTGCATTCTTGCGGTAAGACACAGGCAGTTCCTTTACATGTTCTTCGCTTTACTTAATTTTCTCACAGGAATTGAGATTTTATGACCAATGGGGCACATGTTGGTGGGAAGATTTTGTGTGTGTGTGTGTGTGCGCACACGCCCATGTTAGCGGCCAACCTCTGGAGGAGATTAAGGGACAGACGCCGGTCGGGTTTCCTCCACGTCAGACCCATTGCTGGGGGAAACGTTCTCCCAGAGCCACCCAGCCCAGATCAGTCCAACCTCCTCAACATCAAATCATTCTTCATGGATTGTGATCTAAAAAACTCTCTCGAGCTAATCATTGGTCGATGCTGGAGAACTCAAAATAAAAGAGATGTCAAGGCAGTAATTACTTCATGCAGACTTCAGATATCAGCAAAACCCCTCTAGGTTGAGTCATTTTGTCAGTGGTCATGTAATGCAATAGAATTCTTAGTCCCCTTTTAAAAGAGATTCCACTCGTGAAGAAATCCTCCATAACATTGTCCACATGTACACAATTTCAACAAATTGTGAGTCTTGAAAGTTGAGTTAGAAGTCAGAAACTCAATAGTTTCCCTTTGATAACATAGTACATGCCTCAGCCTGTAATGTGTCATGCTGTTTGACCTTTGAAACTGTGACCTTTCGTCACTCACCCGTTTCCAGCTCCCAAAGAGCTATTCTGATGTGAGCAGGGTCTCAGTTCTCATTTCATCAAGGCCCAGCGGCACCAGAAGCTATAACACAGGCTCAAACTGTGGCCCATCAGGTTTAAATTAGCTGTAAATTTCTAAAGAATGTTTCCCCGCTCCACAAGCGGTACACTTTCACCCATCCCTCTGGCCATGGGGCGCTCTCAGTCATGTTTCCCACAAACGCCTGGTGCTCTAAGGCAGGGGGTTATGCATGTGTGTGCACGTGTAGAGCTGAAATCAAGTAGCTCTGCCCCAGTTGTGTTATCGTATTTTACCACCAGAGAGCAGTGTTAAATCTGGATCAGCTCTTTCAGACAGGAACTTTGCCATTAGTTTATGTTGCAGCAGTCTGCTCTTACCTCTGAATATCTTTTGTCATTGTTGCTCCTCACCCAAGAACAGTTTGACCTTTCTCTGACGCTCTTGCTAAAAAACCATTTAGCACTCTCCCCCCTTTTACCCGCCCTCACTTCTCCCCCTCCCTAATGAGTTGCTCGCTCTTCATGCCCTGCACTGTCCCCTCTGTCAACCCTCCATCAGGGAAGGATATGAGGGCTCAGCGCTGTTGAGAGGCTCCTCTCCCAGGTGGATTCTCAGATTGCTGCGGCGGCCTTTGATGGTGAAAGGCGAGCCGGCCAGGTCTCAGATGGATCCCCTGCAGGCAGGCAGGCACACAGACTGGCTCTCGTTAAAAAAGCACCACCTTTGTGTTCCCACAGGAGGTGGATGTAATTAACATAGCTTTAGTACTACCTGTGTTTTCAGCCGCCGTTGTCAAGGCTACTTCTGTTTGGGTTTTGTGTGTGTTTGGGAATGGTGGTGGGATAGGTGGGTGGTTGGATGGGGGAGGCAGTGGCGTGCATGCATGGGTGTGCATGTGGTATTGCATATGTGTGTACGTGCACATGAACACTATAGGGGTGGTGTTCAGTGCACAACCCTGGTGGGCTGATGTAATGTTTGGGTCTGGTCCGTGCTCAGCCTTGGCAGTAGTTGGAGCTGCTAGAAAGTCGGTGGTCATTTAAAACCCCTGGCCTACGCTGCCCAGGGGCCCCTCTTCTGCCACACCGTGGACCCCTGTTGGTCATGCACTGACTAAAGTTTTCAGATTCCTCTTGTTACTTGTGACAATAGTTGCAAGTTCCCCACTGAGCAACTGTGGTACAACCGGGATATTAACTATAGCTGCAGTAAATACTGAGCAGATAAGTAGCTGTGGAAAAATGAGAATATTCATTTCTCATTTCTCATAGGCTCATTTTCAATAAAAAAAATTCAAAAGGACTTTCTTTGTTGCCAAATAATGTACCTTTTAATGTAAATGCAATGTAAATCAGTCATTCAGATCAAAGTTTAGCTGAAATCTATATGTTTTTATAGCGAGTCCTCCCTTTCTTGTTACATTGCAGGATGTTCTCAAAGAGTGCCAGGAGCAGATTGAGCGTGTGTTGGTGAGCAGCCTGCGCGAGGGGCGGCAACAGCAGCAGCAGCAGCAGACACAAAGAGGCCCCAGCGGGAAAGGCCTGGACGAGCTGGATCAATCCTCCACCCCTACAGACGTCCGCGATGTCAACTTGTGAACCACCAGAGGGCATCATTGCACAGGATTTACAAAAAAAAAGCATCATGAAAAAACCTCAATTTTCTTAAAAGCAGAAAAAAAAGAACAAAAGAACAAAAAATGTTAAAAACACAAGCCCTTTAAAAGAAAAAGAACAATGCTTGCTAGTTTTTTTTTTTGTAGATTTTCTGTTCTTCCAAGTCAAAAACACCTGCCCACGAAATAGATTTTCTATGATGTTTTAGTCTAAAAGCAACAAATTTGATTCAAGATGAAGCTCTGTGGTGCCTTGGATATACAGAAGGGAAGCCAATCATATTTGCATTCTGCCTCTGATTGTATAGTATGATCTTTAAGTTATATTTTAACCATAGCTTGATATTGAGGCTGTTATGCTAGAAATTGTGGAAACCATTCAGAAATTGCATACATGGGATCACAGTGGGGCTTCACTTTTTTTTTCCTCTGTTTTGTTTTATATGAGTATTATCACTATTACATTCGTGGCTGGTGTAAGAGAGGACACAGGTTCGTGCTCCTCGAGCACCACAGGGTCCACATGTTCGTCAAGGATGAGACAGACAGAGGAAAGCGTGAGAACATTATGCTAAAAGTTGGTGGGTCCCAGTTCCAGGGAAGAGACAGAATGATAATAATTATTAGTAGTGTTAGTAATTATTATTATTATTATTATTATTATTAATGGACATATTTTGGAACTGAGTAGTAGAGCTCAATAAGCTCCTTTTGTCAGGCTGCTTGTGTGCGTGTCAGTTTGTGGGTGCAAGCGTGTGTGTTTGTATGTGCCAGTTTGCTTGCGTGTGTGTGTGTGTGTGTGTGTGTGTGTGTGTGTGTGGTGTGAATGCTACATGTGATCCTGTATCCATATTAGCAGTGTGCATTCTATAGCGTGAGGCACTTGAGCAAAGTCAAGTCGTAGACTCGTGGTTCTGTGTTAAAAGACTAATGGTCAAGCCGAGGCTACACATACTTTGTCCATCAGTATAACAGGGCATCTATGCTATATCACTGCCTCCATGCATTAACAATGTATCATGGTTGATTGTTGGCCAACAATAAACTCATGTGCATGGACTATGAGTGAGACAGAAAAAGATTAAGAGAAGGAGGATATAGGCGAAGGGACTTTGACTTAGAGCCCCTTATCTTTCTAAGTGCATTTTTCCTGAGGTGTTGCACCTCAGACTCAGAGGTCACTTGAGGTGTTTGTTTATTACTGCCATTCTGTTAATGAAATATTACAGATACATCATTCTTTTTCACGTTGTTACAATATGGTATTTCCTTAGTTGTGAAAGGCTGCTTTGAGTCTGGACAGAGTGGTAATGACCTCTTACATGTGAATATGGCACATGTGAAAACAGGAGAGGGTGATGTCTTGAAGAAAGTAAGGCTTTGCTTTTTAAAGTCTGGAGGATGTTAGACTCCTCTGTATTAATTAGCAGGGAGGGAACCGGGTGTGGCGTGGAAAGAATTAGAAAGAGAGGGACAACTAAGAAGTCACTGTGGAACTGTGGAAGGCACATGAGTGCACAGCACAGGATGGTAGGGCAGAGAGGACTTTAGTGGTGCTGGAGCATGCTGCTGTGTAGGAGACGGGGAGGATTTACAGCCAGTGGCTGGAAGATGATAACAAACAAAAGACCCCCAAAGGCCTCACAATAAAGTTTTGATATCTGCATATTTGGATGGAATCAATATTAACTTCTCATAATGGATTTCTACAATCACATAGCTAAGTGAACAAAAACCTTCTGGGTTTCCATTTACATGGAAACGAAATGGGGAACTAAGACTGTACACTGCCAGATCATGTGAGCATGAACATTTTCGGGGGTGGGTGGGTGTTGGGTGGGGAGTGGGGTTAGAGGAGTACAGGATGATGATGATATACTGTCAATGCATCTGGAGTCCCACATAGGGTTGTTTTCAGCTCCCCTATATGATTTCAGTGGCAAAGCACTTTGAGAACATGCTCCCCAGGAGATAAGTAAAATGAAATGCATTGGGTAGTGATTGGAGGTGAAAGGATGTTTTCTTTTTTCCTTGTTAGCCTTTTCTTTGGTTTACTTTGTAGGGCTGGTTTCCCAATCATCAGACATACCCTTGTCAAGCAAGAGTCAAATTAAAAAGGCTTTCCACAACTTACGACGTGGGGACATTCCGATTAAACAAACAAACAAACAAAAAAACATTCCTATTAAAGCAAAGTGCAAGTTGATGGGGAGTCTGACCGTTTCAGCAAATTTGAACAAATATAAAACGCCAATATGAGTTGAAAAATGCCTACACACAGAGTTCACTGATCCATGGGTTCTGTTTGATTTTCTTTATATTGTCAAGAAATGAAATATTTGTTTTTACTTGAATTTTTCTTCCTATTTATCTGCATCACAGCCACAGATAGTCACACAGGGCAGCGATGAGCTACAAGAAAAGGTGGTCGTAACATCCAATATTTGCACATGTTCTTCAGAGGGCAATGAGGTTTGCGTTTTTGAGACAGAGCAGAGCCTTTGTTCGAAACCACCTTAACTGATGTGTGTTGCCGTGGTTGGTCAGTTTTCTATGGTGCTGGCTTGCGTGTTTCAGGCCTGATTGTCTGTCAGTGAACACATCTGTCCCCTGTGAGCTTTGCTGCTTCAAATCATTGGCAAGGGGGTTCATCAGCCAGACAGACATCAGCCCAAAACAAGAGACGGATGATTTTTTTTTATTTTGTTTTGTTTTGTTTTTCGTTTTTTAATAGGACACATGGCTTATGCCACAGCCAATTGTCTTTGAGCTTAAATGCCTGGAGTTTTTTTTTTTTCTTATGACCGGGTATGTGACTTCTGGCTGCGGTGTATGTTTTCAGCACCTGGAAGAAAAAATGTGGCGGGATCTTAACATTTTTAGTTGATTCGTTTTTCAGGTAGCAAACTGGGCAATTTCGAATGCACACATTTGCCAAAACATCCACCGTTCTGAATATTTTGATTCATGACCCGCCGTTCATTCTTGGGGGCCTTCGTGTCTTGCCTGTGTCGAAGCTCTCTCCCAAACTTACATGGTTGTGAATCTCTTCTTTCCTGCAAGTTTTATGTTTGCATCGTCGTTCATATATTGGATGACCCCTTTTTCCAACTTTGGTCTGATAATTTTTATGGTGACCCAGACCCACAAAGCGGTTTTTTCTAAGATTTACGGAGATTACTGTCATTCAACGTGAAGGACGAAGGACAGAAGAGGGTGCTGAAAAGACATCAAGAAAAAAAGTGTCAATAGTGTTTTTAATCTGGGACAGTTATTGTTTGTCTTTTTTTGCCGCTGCCTACAAAGGCTTGATGAATTTGTTATTCATTCCATTATACCAAAACAATAACACTTACTTGCACGTTGGTGCTGTGTTCAACTTCGGAGTTGTGGCTGCTCATTTTCTCAACATTTTAGTGCATATATGAATTCACTTTACTTAGCCTTAAGAGATACAATTTCAGAAAAAAACACGAAGTACGGGTAGAATGAGTGATTAGCAGAACCATGAAATGAGGGTATCGAACTCGCGAATGCTTCGTTTTGGTCGTTTGACAGTTTGCTTGCTGTACGGATACATCGTTTCCGTTTCCCCCTTTTTCTTTTTTCTATTTTGCTCCTCCTTCTTCAGTCATTTGCATCAGTTGGCTATTCCTCATTTACCTCAGGCATTACTGGACAAATAACGATAAACATCCATCATCTCCAGTTACCTCTGCCAGTTTTTGGGAGCCTGGAACGGGAGGAGAAAGAATACAGTGGGGGCGTTGATGGGCGTGAGGCGGGGGGGGAGGGGGGGGGATCAACGACAAATTAGCATTTTTGTGGATGATTCCCAAACAGTGGGAACTTGCTCAGTGAGATGGGAAACAGGAGATATGCAAGGCTTCCACTTGGACTTAACCTATATTGGAGGTGGGAGGCACAACAACATTGCAAAAAAAAAATTTTTGGGGGGGGGCGGATGTTTATTCTGTAGATAGTTCAAGCATGTGCATTTCTGTTCATGTTGGTGCTACATCTGATTTCTTGTGTGCCAGAGAGGGGAAAACAGCATTCCTATGATGGCCAAAGTACAGTTCTTGCTTTATACAACCACGATTACTCCGAATGTCAGTAAATATGGATTCTGTATGTGAGAAAGATACGTTTTGGTCTGAAATATTGTGTCTGTGCACCATTGTGACTGCCACATAATAATGGGTTTAGGCTACATCTGTCATGTCCTACAACTATAAATATTCTGATATCTGGAAGTTTCAATGGTGCAGATTTCCCTTTGAGTTGCCTCCCCCCTCCACTATAACTCATATCATGTACCTCAAATGTCTGTTGCACAACCTCTGTTCAATAAACTTCTGCTTTAAAGGGTGTGACACCACATCAGCTCACTATTTCCCACGCCTGTGTTCCTTTTGAGCTCTGTGTCTAATTGTTTCATGATCAATAGACTAGTTTGTGTGTACTTGTGTGTGAGTCAGCAATGATACTGCAGAGTAAAGTTCAACTGTACACACTTAATCACTTGAAAGCTACACAAAGCAGGGATGACGAACGTGGGACAATATGTGTTCCCGTGGCCAGAATATAGGGAATAATGGCTAAACACTCGAAAAACAGGATGTATTGATATTTCTGCTCAGTCCAATAAATCTGCCACGCAAAGTTAAGGAAATATACTGGTTAGATAAAAGGACTCTAGACCCCTGACCACACTCCTTCAAGACCCCGATGTCTACTGAGAAATAGAAATGTAATGGAGAACTTATGGACAACTACTTTTCTAGAATTACATACTGAATAATCAGTGTAAAAACCAAAACAGGCTGTCTGCCTCCTCCTCCTCCTCATTGACTGGGGCCCTTATATTCTGCATAATCAGGCAGCGGATGATGAGATAAAGGATGGTTTGAATTTAGGACACTAGGACCCCCAAGTAGTCCCGGCTTGACCAGAGAAAAATGTGTAGAGAAATGTCACAAATAAAGCCAGCAGACAAGAAAAAGTGTCAGACTATGCCCTCTAGTGGCTGCATACACTCAAGCATAGATTAAAAGACAATATCATGAACTAAAGATGTAAATCTTTACAGTCTATAAATCTACTCAAGACATATTATGCATTTAAAACTAGCACAATTATCACCTGGTTAATTAATTAATAATATAATTTAGGAGAGGTTCATTGTGGTTTCAAAGGTTGATGCACATGCATCAACAAACTTTAATTTAGTAGCCTAATTAATTCATGAAATGTTGGTTAAAAAAAAAACCTTGGTATTGGAAAAAAGGAAAACGCGTGTTTAATATTTTTTAATTGATGTAAAAGAAAATAAATTCAGACAATCAAGACAGTTAAAGAAAAATTAAGTTAAAGTAAATAGTAAGGTAAACAGGTGCTACCAGTAAAACTAATTAGGGTTCAGTTCCCTTCAGCTCTAACAGGTGCATGTTGTCTCACTCGGAGAGCTACACTAAATGGAACACAGCCTTAATTAATATTATTGGTAACACCTGTGTTTACCCAACTATTTCATGTCAGAATGGCTGCTGTGAAAAAGATCTATTTATAACAAGTTAATTAAGTATTTCATAACTTTATTCAGCCAATCAGAAGAGAGACTGTAGTGTCTTTCTACTGTTAAAAATAAAAAAAATGAGGCTCTGTGGTCTGATTCAACCTGATATCTGGATCAGTAATGACCTTTCTAAATGTTTAAGTATGAGCAATAATTAAAAAATATTAAATTATAAATAATATAAATTACTACCTATAAATCTGGCCACTTAAATTAAAGTGATCTGATATCTGGATCGGCAGTAATAATAATAATCATAAAATAATATAATAAAAAATAGTAATAATGATAACAAAAATATAATAAAATAGCAATAATAATAATAATA